TAAGTGCTGTCCCCCCCCCCCGTCCGCCCCCCCCCCCCCCTTAATTAGCATTCCCAATAAGCACGGCAGAAAGAATACGAAAGAAAGGTGGGGGGGGAAAAGCAGAAGGCGGCTGGCTGGTGAGAGCTACAACTTGCCCCTCCAGAGGTGCAGAGCCGCATCTCCTTACCGGCACGCAGGGACGACGCGGCCGAGCCTCGCCCGGGTCGGCGGCGCGGCAGCGCAGCTCCCCGGCCCCTTCTCCCGCCGCTCAGCCTCCCCGCCTCGCACTAGGGCTCCCGCTCGGCCAGCAGCACTTTTTAACTCCGGCATGCAGGCAGCCCGAGCCGAGGGGGCTCTCTATCTGATTGGTTTCCATTCACTGCTCCTGATTAATAAAAAAAAAAAAAAAAAAAAAAAAAAAAAAAAAAAGGAGGAGGGGGAGGGAAAAAAAAAAAAAAAGCCAAACTCCTCCCTCTCGGCTTGGCTCCCTGGCAGGCGCGCACACACACCCGCACATACGCGCACCCGCACCCCTGGCGCCGGCGCTGCGGCTGCCGGGGCCGCCGGAGCTGCCGCACTGGGGCCGGGGGGGCGCGGAGCGGGCGCGGAGCCGATTCCTCCGGGCGGGCAGGGATTTGCAACTGAATGCGGTGGGAGGGCAGAGGGGGAGGGTTGTGCCAGGGAGCCCCCCTTCCCCCCCGAGAGCAGCTCCGCGCTTGAGGTGGAGAGCAGCCAGCTTCTTCCCAATCGCTTGGTAGCGATAGCTAAAGCGGAATAAAATCGGGGGAGGGGGAATAAGAGGAGGCAGAGGCGCGCTCCGCTGTTGGGAGCTGTGTGTTTGTGCTGTGCGGCTTCTCATCCTCCGAGCTGGTCGTAAGTCCTTCTCTCGATATCTGAGATGCCCCGCTGGTCTTTTCCCACACTTCCCAGGAAGTTCATGGACTTGATGAATCAAGATATTTCGGTGAATTATTAATGGAGATGACACTTCGTGGTCGCATGTGGCGGTTTCTATGTGAAGGGAAAGCCGCAGAGGGGCACTTTCTAGGCGCCTGCCTTTGCTTGGTCCCTCTCTTCCCAGAGGGCTCCCCACTCAGGAGGCTGTGACTAACCTTAACGCAGAACGGGCTGAAATCTCAGATTTTGCTGTGGGACTCATGGAGCCCCTCTGCACACATGCGTTTTTACAATCTCTCCCTCCACCCCCCAACTGCCTAAATACAGCCTGAAATAAGGCTTTGCATTTTCTTCGTCTGTATATTAAATTACAAGATGGAAATTGCCAGCTAGTTTATTATTTACCTGACAAGAGTCCTCTCCAATTCAGCTGCACGGTGTCCCCTTAAGATTCATGGCAAATGTTGCAAGAAGCGAAGCTTTCTGCCATTCGCCTCTCGCATCTCCACAGCCTTAGGTCTGACCTTTATGATTTTTTTTCCCTGCTAGTAAATCTAGTCATCTTGTTTTACTTTCTTTTTCTATTCCTTTTTTCTTCCCTTGCTTCTACCCACCTTTCACAATTTTTGCATGTTGTATGTCTTAAGGATGGGTCTGTGCTGGCTCTAAGCCATCTTTGTGTCCTGTTTCTGGACTATTTCAAGGCTTTTAGTGTAATTTAAATACCCTGAGCGCTAGAAATTCAGGTAGCAATCTTGCTGCTTGTGCTGTAATTTCTACAGTGCTGCAGCATCATGTCCACAGCACAGCTGAAACTGGTGCTGGGCTTGTTGTAAAATTTGGAATATGTAAAATTTTTGTAAGGAAGAATGTTCTTTAATATTTGATCTTTGTGTACTCTCAAGACTAGTCAACAAGAAGGGAGATCTAATCCATGAAACCACAGCTAACAAGCACACTCTAAGTGATGTCCAGGTGTTAGAAAAACAAATTACTTGCTGGGAGAATTGCCTTGTTAAGGGTTAGAGCCTGACATGCTACAGTGATCTTGGACCTAGGGGGAGTTTACCAGAGCTTGGGAAGAAGGATGTTCCATTGACAGTGGACACAGCAAATGCAGAATTTGCAGGCCACAAGGACAACTGGCAGAACTCCCAAGGTAAGGAAAAAGCTAACTCAGCAACTGTGCTGAAATCAGCTCCAACTGGGTTAAAGGTAATTCTGGCAGGGAGAGATCATGACCACCGACCCAAGAAACCAAACAACTCAAGAGAAAGGTTGAGCATAAAAATTAATTAGCATGAGAAGCAAGAGAATCATTAACCAATAGAAGACAGGATACTAACAGAGAACTATATAACTTGTCACCAATGAACACTAATTCCTTTGTTTGCTGAAATGTATAAATAGTAAAAATTTGACAGCTTGTGTGCTTGATTTGTGGAATACCACCAAGCGCCCAGGCTTGTGCAACTGCAAAATAAATAATGTCTCTCTTGAGTGTGCAATTATTGGCTTGTTGCACACCAGGTAATGAATCTGATTTTTGTAGAGAACAGGTTCCTTAAGAAAAACTTCAATCTGTTTCACAGAACCACTGTGCTGGTTCTTCTAAATTCTTAAAAATTCTTCTTTTAAGGACTCTGTATGATACTACAAGAGGCAAAGCAGTGTAAAGAAACTGGATTCTGCTTTGCATATGTTTGTGAACTCGAGCAAATCACCCTGAAAACCCACTTAGGTACCACTGCCATTATCTGGCCATATTAGTCTTTCCACAGCTGAGTTTTTCCAGCCTGCAGATCATTCTGGTTGCTCTTCTTTGAATTTACCCTAGTTCCCTCATTATTTTATTTTTTTTTCAGCAATGACAGGTCAGGAACTCAGTGAATATTTGTGGAGTATTCCCACAGGAGCTTTCTGGACACAGTCTATCTCTCTTTATGACAGACCACATTTACAGACTTTCTTGTTCCCTGCTATATTACATTGTCGATTCACTGCCCACTCTAACCCTGAGGTCTCCTTGGGCATTATTCATTCCTAGATGCATCATATTCTGATTAGTTTTAGTAAGGCTGCTTATTTTATTTTATTTTATTTTAATTTTGATTTTGTCAGCCAGAGTGGAACTAATAATATCCAAGAAAGACTTCTGCATTTTTGTTAAAAAGGAAAAGTGCAGGAACTCTTGTGTTCTCCATAATGTGTGCAAAAGATATTTATCTTCCAATCAATTATATGAATTTGTGGTTCACAATTTGAAGTCCACAGCTGTATGAAGAAAACTTCTTTCATTTTTTTTTTTAAATATTGTTAGGATGGCAGTTTTCTTCCTCAGCCCTCTTCTATTGACAGCTATAATGATAATAGAATTAGTAGGTTAGATCACATCATTAGCCAATGAAGAGTCCTGTATACCTGATACATTAGCTGAGTGAAAGGCTCAGCTAGGATTGTGAAAATTGATCAAGACTGGCTGAAAACAACTTCCCTGCCATGAGGTGGAGAATATAAAAAGGTTCAGAGAAGAACTGGGTGTTCACGAGTCTAAGACTCCAAGACCAGAAAGGAGACAAACATTGTTTTCAGCTCTTGAACCAATCTCGTATTTGGAAATCAGAATGACTACTCAAGGTAAAACATACAGTCTCAACGCCTATCTTGTCTGTGGCTTTTCTCTTAAGCAAAAAATCCTGCCCATGGACTGACAAGAATTAGCCAGAATGAAGATCCCAAGTGGCAACTTCTACATCTGCAGTTTCTGTGGAATGCCCAAACCCTTCCAACTGTGATCAAAATGTCCATGAATCTCAGTCACCAGCACAAAAATAAAATACAGTGTGAGCTAGGAACATATGGTGATATTCTCTATGCTATTCAGGTGAAATACTATTTCCAAACAATAGAAGATGTCTGTGTGGGATTTAAAGACTAAACAGCTGCTTAGGGTTCACTACAAGCTGCAGTATCTAGGAAACAATCTGAATGTCTCACTTTGTAACTCCACATTTCGGAGTTTTCCCAGCCTCTTCCAAATAAAAAAGAGGGACCTTACTCTGAATTCATAAAGGGGAACCTCAATCTAAGAATTTCTCTTCACTCTTTTCTGCTTTTTTTTTGTTTTTTTTTTCCCTAGAGGTGGGGAGCCTTGCTTTCTCAAGCTGGAATGCCACATCTTTCAGTTCTTTAAGCCCAGTCCTGTAGATATGTATGCAGTGATCAAGGACTAGCCAGGCAATTGTAAGGGCTGAGATAATGTCACATTTTACCATTCTTCAAGCAAGATGTGCTTCCCATAGCACTGAAACAGCCCTGGTGCCTTCCTAGTCCTGGTCTGCTGCAAATACCTAAAAGAAACAGGGTAGCACAAACTACTTTTTCATTTTCTGTCAATTCCTTCTGGTCTGCTTGGCCACTGGAAGCACAATGGTTTGCCTCATGGATTCCAGTGATTGCATGCAGCCTTGCATAGCATATTTGTTCTCAGTCTCTGAATAGTTTTGTTCTTTGTCAGTGTCCTTCTTCCAGTGAGGCCCCCAAAATTGTAGGAGATTATTCCAATGAATCTGAATGCCTTGTTCTAACTTGAATTTGTTACATGTTTTAGCCCTTTCTAGAAAGGATGAAGAAAAGCAGCAGATGGTTTGATTGGTTCCTTCATAAGCCACATGAGGAGCTACTCCATGTCTGCCTATTCCATAGACATTTTAGGGTGAAAAGATTCCTGCTGCAAGATACAAAAGAACAAAGAAGCAAAATGTGAATCAGAGCTTGCTGATTTTGTGGAAACATTATGAAATCTGCCTGTTTTTTCTTAGCTTTCTGTCTGAACCTCTCAGCTGCTTCCCAAGTAGGGAACTTGATACTGCAAATTCTTGCAGTTTCATGGTTTCTTGAGTGTCTGTCTTTCCCCATTTCAGTGGTGAAAGTCAAGGAATGATGGTAATTAGAAAATAGTAATAAGATTTTTGGTTTATCCTTGAAGTAGTTGTATTTATTCACTAATAATGCAGTTCCTCTGAGCAAACTGGAACTTCAGTCTTCTTGTCTAGGTTGAATATGAAAATTTATTTTCAAAATTATTCTGGAAATTTGATTTTCCAATAAACTGCCATGGTAGCTATTCCTCTGCTTCTCTGGGTACATGTAAACTGTTTCAAAGAAATGCATGTTTTCTCTAAGGAATGGCTTTACTTCTGAAATTAATAAACCTGATCATCGTGGTCTCTCACCAGTTTTTCCCTCAGTGTTTAGTCCATGCCTTTTTTGCCTAGGGATGGCAAAAACAATTTCATTTTGCATTAAACTCATACTGAAACAGATATTTTCAAAACTGTCATATACCTCTGAATTTCTTAGCTCTCCTAATTCCAGTGGTATTAAAATATCACAAGAACAGCTGTTGTTGTGTTGCTTGTGGAGTCAGTAATTACAGAATTGTGTTGTGAAAGTAACAAGCTGAAGGGTGGCAGG